ATTAGAAACAAAACAAATTTCAACACAACACAAGCATGATGTCATTAAACGAAAAGGAGCAGCCCCCATTACAGAAAAATCTAAATGCTGTAAATTCTTTTTCATGGATTGGAAAACTGAATGTGATATTTTATGTTAGAAATTGGTCAAGTAAAATAGGTAATGTAAAATTTTAAGGTTTGCATAAGGTTCTGTGGAGTTCACTTATTGTTAATAAAAATATATCCATATTTTTAGCAAAAATGAAAAAAAAGCACACTAACTACTATAAATACCTTAAAACTTATAATATTCACTCTAAGTATCTCATTTAAGTAGAAGAATAGCATTAAATAAATGCATTTAGCTCATGACATCATCTGTTGCTGTTCTTTTCTTTTTATTTGACACACTTAYATTAAGTGTTGATTTTATTACACAACTTACATGGTTAAATAACACCCTGCCAGGGAGCCACTATAATTAATCAGTGCATGCAACATTAGTCAAAATATACCTGCTTGTATATCTGTAACATTACAGATTATCACAGGTTTAAGTAAATGTTTTGAGCTATGGTAACATAAACAAATACCTGTTGGCAACGCCGGACGCATTCGATGAATGCAGCGGCTGTTTTCTTTTCCGGTGATGCAACATCAAGGACGTGCAGCACATGCACTATGCTTTGTTGTATTTTTGTTTCACTTTAATTGAAAAATGTTCCCCCAATTTTGACAGTTTATCATTTTTTGGGTGCTTCTTTTAGGGACTCGTCATCTCCCACCAGAGCTAAAAATAGCTCTTAGCATACGCGCGTCAACGGTGTGGGCATTAGCGAAAGCGCTGTGTAAAAATAACGTTCCACAGACAAAAGTGCACTTAATAGTTCAACAGTATTTATTTTTAATAAAGCTTTGAGGCAGATGATTTGCCTCACAAACTTTTAGCAATTGAGGTACTTGAATTATTTGAGGAATCACATTAAGAAAACAATTTTCTACAAGAGAGAATTTCTGAGTTCTTATAGCAAGTTGTTGCAGTGCATGCACGTCGTTTTGGCTTGTGTGTTATAGCTTTCTTTTTTGTAGGTGGGGGTGATTACAGTTCCTGATTGCTCCTTTACTCTATACTCACTTTGGTCCAAACAGGTGAAAAGGCATGGTTTTGTGGTGTGTTTTGCTTTCTGTGTCCTACAAGCTGCAGCCCCATCATTCCTATCTGTCCTATCATCTCTAAGTCTTTGGAGCAGCTGTTGCTTAGAAAGGATTATGGTTGATGGGAGAAAAAGGTTGGCATTCTACTCGTAAGTGGCTGCAAAAAAAAAGCGACACACAGTAATTACTGTCGTCTTTCTGACAAACCTCAACCTTATCTTGCATCTGTCTGAAGCCACCAAGCACTTGTATTACATATAGGCCTGCCAAGAGAAGTTTTGAACACTCCCTGAATCATATTTTGCTCCCCTGCATCATGAGGCGAGTCTTGCTTTCCCGCAGTGTGCCGTGCCTGTGGGGAGTCTCGTCAGTCACCCGGACCTAGGACACCTCCTGACAAGGTCACAGAGTTCTGCCACTTCGAGATTAAAAAAGCTCCATCCATCCAGGCGGCTTCCCCCTCTGGGCAGCCATTATCATAGCAGATCGCCATGCCAAAAACCTCAAATGGATGTGTAGTGCACAGGTTGTGACCTTCCAACAGACTGCTGTCATTTTTAGGTCTTTCTGTCTCATGAGATGACAATGGTTGTTGGCTGCAGTGCTGCCCTTTTTTCTTTCAAGAGGCAGCACTGATGTTAAGGGAGGAGAAAATGAATATTTGAAAAATTGAATGCGTTCTTTTAAAGAGAGGCATTTTCAAAACTTTGCTTTCTCTTTTCCTGTTTTGTTTAACATCAKTTAGGCTTTGGATGTTTTTGTCACAGTGTGTTGCATCAGCAGGGATAGGCAGGGAGACTGGTAAAGACAAACATCCATTAGTTTTAGCCATGGAGATAAACTTTAAAACCAAATTTGTTCAAGTTTTTTTCCCCTCTGCATAATAGACCAATCCACCTCTCATCAAGTTTGAGTTTGAATGATACATGGTTAGTACTAATGGACTAGTGTATTTGCTTTTTTGAGTTGCGCTTGCAGACGCATCAACACAAATTTTTACATGTCCAAATGTTATCATTGTGATTTGTGTTAAATAAATTATGTTCTTATCTTTTACAGCTCTGAATTTTTTCTTACCAATTTTTAATCCCAAAGAAAGCTTAATAAAAGCTTCCAACTAAATTTTGAGTTTGTATTCGATCCTTTCAATCATTAACAAAACCTACTAATTTTTGTAAACTTGAAGGGAACTTCTGATGGACTTGCGACCTGTCCAGGGTGTACCCCGCCCCTCGCACTGTGACTGCTGGATATGGGCACCAGTGACCCACGCAACCCTGAAAAGGAAGAAGCGTGTACAGAAAATGGATGGATGGATGGATGAAGGGAACTGTGGCACAAAGCAGAACAGAACTGTCTGTGGAAATGTCATATAATTTATATGGACTACCTTGTCACTTGTTTTTACCTGTATTTACTAAAACAACTTGAAGGTRGGTGAAAAATGTCATTGAAGTGTAGTATTTCTTTAATAAGTATATATTTTTGGTGGCTCAGTTGGTAGAGCTGTTGCCTTCCAAGAAGAAGGTTGCTGGATTGAATCCTGGCTGGGAACCTTTCTGGGTAGAGTTTCCATGTTCTCTCGGTGCATGCATGGGTTTTCTCCATGTACTCTGGTTTCCACCCACAGACCAAAACCATGTATGTTGACTAACTGGGAACTCTAAACTGTCCTCAGATGTGAGAGAGAGTGATTGGTTGTTGGTCTCTACCTGTGATGGACTTGCAACCTGTCCAGGGTGTCCCCTGCCCGACTGCTGGATATGGGCACCAGTGACCCCCTGTGACCTTTAAAGGAAGAAATAAGTAAGAAATGATATRTTAATGTTTTATTTACATTTTTTCCTTCATGCAAATCCATTTTTAGWTCACTGAAAACAAATCTTTTTGATTAAACCATGCAGGATGGGGATATTTTTAATCTCTTGTTGCTATGCTCCCATGTAGACAGGCAAATGCAGCTTTTATTTGGAAGCAGTGAAAACACCCTTGATTGCCGCTTGATTTAGTTTATCATTTGCAGCAGTTACYATACGATCRTGAAGTGTATTTCCAGATGTATTTKCACTGACAGAATAAATGATTTTGCAAGCAGACAAAAATACTCAGTCCTGAACTGTGCTCAGTGTGGACATTAGAGCTGAATATTTACCACATTCAGTCAGATAATCATGCTCAGTCCACTGCTATTTGCAGTTCCCCTCAATGCCCCAACAATTTCCCTTTTTTGTGTTGCTGCTTCAGTGTGCGTGTGTGYACTTATTATGAGGATTTAGCATTCAGCACTTCAAACAGCAAAACCTTCTGCCATGTCTGACTGCATGACCGTTCGCTGTAAATATTTAAATCCTTGTTTTTGTGTAAGTGCCTCTGACTGAAGGATTATATTGTTTAGACCTTAACCAGTAAATTAAATTTAACTCATCTCACCCAGAGTGCCACTTAAAAAAATCCATCTATTTACAGAATGAGGATAATTTCTGATGAATGCAAAACCCTGCACTTAGGTATTTTTTTTGTAATTCATCAAAGTTATATCCTTACACTGACATAAATATTTTTCTGGTTTGTTTTCTTTAATCTCCTTTAAGGTTTTACTAAGATATGCAGCAGATCCCTGTCTCCTTCTTCATTGTTTGGTCTTAGATTGTATTGTATCGGATCGGAGTTGATGAGGAAGGGAGTTTGCACTTGTCTACACACCCTGAAGCAGCTCAGGACCTAATGGGAGCAGGGACATGAGGAGCTTTGAGGATCTAATGGGAGTGTGAGAATAGTGTTTGTGCATGAGTGTAAACACTGTCAGAAGGGTTGCCAATGCTCAGACAGCACGAGCCCACGGGGTTTGGAGAGCAGGGATGGATTCGTTTGGAGTTGAAATAGAGTACACACACACACATAGATACACATACACGCACACACAATGCATCTAATTGGCAGAAGACATCTGCTACCATCCAGAAAACGCATGCGATAGTCCTCATCATTTTTTAGCCCCCTGGGCAGCCACGCCACACTTAACAATTTCCCCTCCTCGTAATAAGCCCAAATGTACAGCAAATTAATTTCCTGTCCGAAGCGTTTTATTTACAACTCATGTGAGCAGCACAAGAGCTAACAACCTTTGATTGTCGTGATCATCTCAAGGCAGTTATGGAACATTGTCTAGACCATAACTCAACAACCAATTTGCCTAGAATAAAGCAGGCCCATCTCTTTCTTGTATTGTTGTTCATAAAATTGAATATGGCCTCTCAAGCATATGAACTATAACAGTTTATGGTGTGTGTATAATTTAAGTTTTTGAACCAGTTTTCAATGAAGTGCACATTTGTCAGTAGTTTACTTTACACCTTATTTCAGAATATATTAGCTCTAGAACATGTTGGTTTAAATCAACAACCTTCACCTGGTCTAATTTAAATCAATAAATGTTTCCACAGGTTTTTATGTCAGTGTATGAGTGAGTAAACCCTTGTTTTGGGATTCTGACAATTAAAAGAACATGTGAAAGCCACATATTGTCTTCTTTCAGAGATTAAAAATTACATAATCACATGTACTGTATATTACGTAAACGTGTCCATTATAGCTGCTCATTAGCTATGATGACTCACAGTCACATTTAGTCTGCAGTTGATAGAAACAGCTTCTCTAAATAGAACATCGCTGAGGCAGCTGAGCTACCCATGCCCCACCATGTGCTCATGATTCACCGTTGACATTGTCATGGACCGATCTGATTGGCCAAACCCAAATTAGGTTCATGAATTCCCAGTTTTTTACAGCGCTACACATCCAGAGTGAACGCGTCAGGTTCTGCATCAGGAGAGCTGCTCTGGGTTTATTTGGAGGAACCGCTGAGGAGAAATAACTGCGAGGGAATGAGACGTCCCGTTGTCGACGGGACTCAGAAATAGGTGTAATAAGTCAGTATTTCATTACCCTGTTTCTTTTCTACTGATTTGGAACAAACTCACCCCTCCTATTATTGCTTTTTCACCAACACCTCGTCTCTGCCCTGTAGATGGAAGCAAAGTCACGCAGAGCAGAAGGGGAAAAAAAACCCCCGGCTCCATGTAAGTTTTTCCACACGATGAGTGGCACACTTGAAGCCCCCTCCGCTGCTAGACAGGTCCTTTAAACTCTCTTCAATCAAGTTTCCATAAAAGCAGAAAGTGACCTAGTTCTCCTTACAGCGGGTGGCGTTGCGTGAGCATCATTTTAAACTGACAGATATCGCAGTTTCAGATCCAATCGACCCAGACCCTGACAGGGAGAGCAGAAAATAGCCTCGGAGAGAGGAAAATGAGAAGGTGGGCTTTGGCATTGAGAAACTACAGATCTGATTAGCAAATGCAGTTTATGGGAAACCCTGAGGTCTGGAAAACTCAAATGAAATAAACGCAGATGGTTGACTCAGGCTTTCTGTGCAARTTTCTCCCTCCTGGCCCTTGATCTAACTGTGTACTTGGAGTTTTAAAGCCTTGGGTGAATGTGATACCGGCTCTTTCTGTTCTCTCAACTCCCCCCTTCTCTCTAATTAATGCTCAGCTTTGTGAACTCTGGATTAGATCAGGCCAGGGAAATCAATGACTGTCAGTACAGAAAAGAAGATGAGGAGAGAAATAGGCCTGCTGCCACATTTTAATCAGGCCAGGTGAGCATCTGCGATAATGGTAACCCTTCTACTAGCAAATGAGTGTGCTTCTATCGTGCTACATGTGTATGCAAAGGGTCCACACGGCTTTTAAGGGGAAGGTTTGTGGAAGAGTTTGAACCCTGAATTTCYCACAAGTCCGTCAGATCCTTTGAAGCACACTTGGCAAAAGGGTGACCTCAGCAAAAGCAGCAGCCGTGGGAATCAGAGTTTATGACTTCACCAACATGCTGAATCTGGATTCAGCAAACATGAGAAGAGAACACAGGACAGAAGTTTCCTTCTTTATCATCATAAAAATGTCACGTTTTAACTTTGCTATGCAGCTCCAGTCTTATTCTTAAATCATTGCAGTTGAAAATTATATCTTGGTTTTTAAATAAAAGCAACTCTTTTACTCTCAGTCATTGAGTTAGTTTCTGCTAGTTTGGAAACTACAAAAGAAAAAATAAATACATAAAAACATCACACAAAAAATAATCTCAAACGCAACAAACAGTTTAGTTTTTYAGACATTTGTGTTTGGAGTCTGGTGAAACACGGTGAAACTGAGTTGTACAAACGGGAGAACAGCCTGACTCAGAGAAAAATCTGATTTTTGCACTTCAGTAGATCAAAGCTGAAATTTCCAGACATTACCAATAAACACTTCAACTGTGTGATAGGAAAACAGACGTGTATCCACTGTTTATCTTTGTTTTTAAGTTTGGTTTATCTTAAATGTCAGATTGTCTGTTGGTAAAAATCCTCATTATGACARTTGACATCATGTGCTCAATATTTCTAACATTTTTATGTCATGTTAGCTTGATAAATGTGACATTTCCAGTTTTCAACAAAACGTCCCATCCAACATGCTGGATCAATATTACTGGTCTTTAAGCCCAGTGTGAGATGAATGATCAAGGACATCAATAAAGTGCAATACTCAGAGCTCCACTTTACTTAAAGATAAACGTACTGAACTTAAAGCATTATTTAATGACATTTTATTTAGTGATATGATTGGATGAAGATAGGAGGAAGCTTTCTGGTCTTTTTGAGGCTTGAAGAATAATTTATATTAATGTAAAAATGCAGCTTCTTTAACCATAAATAAATCTTGCACACTTTGAGCACATTGTCATGAGTCAACACTGAAATTGTTCAGATCCCCACATTATAAAAAAACATATTGGCTGTTATTATCCCAGATGCAGATTTTAAAAATAATCATTTACCATTAAAAATACAAAGGCAAGAAAAAAACACAACGATATACAAAAAATTTTGCTATCTTTAAAAAACTACTTCATTAATTTATTGACACAGATGTTCTATTAACTGGGTTTCACTGTGTGTGCATGTGATATAAGTTTTCAGAGGTTTATTTTTTTTAACCAAATGTCTTTCAGAAGTGTGGTAATTTGGACGCCGTTTGCTGACTGAATCAAATAATTTCAGACACGGTCAGATCCAAACAAAGTGCCAGGGTTGTTCTTTTTAGTTGTGACTTTACACATGAAAACAAATCCCTTCAAACAGAGAGAAAAAAAGTTCAACAGTGTTTGTAGTTCAACCATTTAGAAGTTCTCTTTTATTAACTTTTCATTAGTATTTGTTCTTGTGTGACTGGATGTTCTCTACTTCTTTTAACTTTTTATTCATCACCGCCGGCACACTTCCTACTGCGAGAAGAGACTCCTGAGAGGAGCATCCGCCTTTACTGCCTGGCTAAGTGGTGTCTTTCCATTTATTGTGTGATTTAATGCAAACCAATAAATGTAGCAAAGCCCTCCAGGACAACCCTGAGGCAGAACATTTTGCTGCGAAGACAGTAGTGCACTTTTACATCAAAGATTTACATTGATTTTTTTAGGCGCAGCAAAGGAAAACAGTGTATTTATACAAAGTTGTTTGGAGAAATGGATTTTTTTAGCATTTTAGTTCTGATTGGTGCAACTTACATGTGSTTATGATGTACACATTTACAGTTAAAAGCACTTTTTATGTAATTTCTCCAGCTGTGAGGTTAAGATTGACTTCCCTTCATCTACTTTCTTTAAAGCAAGTGAAAATAAATGCGCCGGACATTTGCTTGTGTGCTGTACACTAACTGSCCCAGTTGTTTTATTTATTTATTTATTTTTACTTTCTGCAGGACTGGGAAGGAGAGATTAGGATGCAGTGTGCATGTGAGATGTGGGAACTCTTGAGTCAACCGCAAGCTGCTGCAGCCCAAGGCCGAGGCGGGGGGAGCAAGAATGAAAAATGTGTGGAGAAAACAAGGAGCAACCATCTGAAAGAAGGAGATAGGATGGAATAAATTTCATCAGCGTATGAGTGTATCATGTTTTTTTTCTTGTTCAGTTGAAGAAAATGACCAAAAAAAAAACATAAAGTAAGAGATTTTACATTTTATTTTATAACTGCTGATCCAGTGAGAATAAACCTGCTTTTTAAAATCAGGGTTCTGGATGGTTTTATTGAAATAAATATTACAACAGATGATTAACCAGTGAGGTGAGGCTAATGAAGGCTTGCACAATCTAAGCTGAGCCCTTAGCATCTGTCGCAAGTTTAACCGTCTCTGACCAGCAAGGTGCTGGAAGGTGTGCCGAGCTGAGAAACACAAAGAAGAAGCAGTAACACAAACCCAATTAGCTTAGCATGTTTCAAATGGTACATTTTGCCTCATAAGTGTGCCTGAGAAAGGTGTAAACGAACAGTCAGAGCAGCAGCGGGTGGGTGTGAGCTGACAGAGTGCTATTTTTACTCCACACTGCTGAGAATTAAACACCTCTGCCCCTGTTCTGAAGCTAGAGATTTCAAAGTTWGGTTTGAAACAAAAAGTGTGATTTAACATAAAAAGACACATTTTTTTTGAATATTATCAAGAAACAAAGAGCAATCTGAGAACCAGTCAGTTTATATAGAAAATGCAGACAAACTTGAGACTACAGATTTCAGAGTGAGATAACGCCAACATTAAAAAAGTGTGCTTCATTGAGAGCAGAAGGTGAAAAAGCTCCCAAATATCTCTAAGTTTTAAATTTCTAAGGAACATTTCTGTCTGACTGCTGCTGATGATGAGCATTGTGCTTTTAAACAACCGTTGGGGCAGCCTTGATGACTTTATGTAAGCTTCAGAAAATTCAAGATTGGATCTGAAAATGATTTCCTCTCTAAATGTCAAGAGGAATAAATTGGTGCTGCTGTCTCCTTCAGACTGCTTTATAATGGTGCTTCATTATTGTGGCTTAGATTGGCAAAAAGAAAGAAATCAAGCCACCCCCCCCCCCCCAAACACACACAGTTTGTATCATTAAGTCTTATAGCACTAAAGTAGGTGATTAAAATGTTTGGTATATAAAAGGAATATTAGAGTTTTTTAAAGTTGGCAGAAATTGAAGCATAAAGTAAAATGAAGAGTGAAGGCAGAGGTGTGTGGCATTAGTTTCAAAACAAGGGGAAAAAAGGGAAAAAAACAACAAAGGAACATGAGATAAAAGGGTGTGAAAACTTGGTTGAGGATGATTATACAAAGCTCAGACTGGGTGAGAAAATTGAGGATGAGGTGTGGTGGGAAAGGTTCGCAGCTGCCTGGTGTGGTCAGCAGGCTCACAGAATAAAAGCAACATGACAACTTTCTTATTACTTCCTACCTCCTGCTCAAATGTGTCAGGCTGTTCATTTCCAAACATCCAACCTTCTTATCCACTTTTTTTATTGTCTCCAAAAGTTTCACCAATAAACCAAACTCAAACAGGACCAAACAACAAGTTGAGAAGACAGGTTTGCAGTTTTGCTTTTAATTAAAACAAACCAGAAATGTCTTTTCAAAAGTTTAAACTGCATTTGAAATACAATAAGCTATTTTCTGCCAACAAGAGTATCCTCAAAATCAGTTTCTGTGATACTAACAAGTTATTCTTCATATTAGCACGTTACCTGATTATTTTGTTAACTGTAGAATTGTGACAAATTGCAGAGTTCAGCTGCCTCTAAAACAACTCTCATCCTGATGGCATATTTCAACAACATTTTGTGCTGCATCAGAGAGCAACAGTCCTTGCGCCGTTCATCAGTTCAGTAATCCTGATGCAGCAGCAGATGAACCAGCTCTTCACCTGCTGTGGTTGAAGTGACCTCACAGATTGCAGCAGAATGCAGAACAAGGACTGCAGGCAATCCAAGGCAGTACATTTATAGGAGTCAAAATGTAGCAATGTGAAATGAAGCTAAAACCATTGCTGGTAGTGCTGACTGGTCATAAAATGAACATGAAATAAAATGTGCTAAAGTTAGTTAAAGCAGTGAACTTGGACTTGGAAAATGACTAAACCTGCAACAAAGTGCCACAAACAAAACATAGTCCATGACTAAGTAAGGTTTATTTATATACCTTTCATAGATATAAACCCACAAAGTACTTCACAATGAAGTCTGCTGTCTGCTTGCAACAGCGTGATGCTAATTACTTCAAACCTTTTTTATTTTTAAAGAACAAAAGCCTTGTGCCGACTTTAAATTTACATGTGTGTGATACAGGAGACCCTTTAAATGTGTTGCTAGGATTTTGAACTAAAGTCTCATCAGATCAGACTTAAACATAACTTTTAAGTTTGGTTGCATGATTCAGACTGATACTAATTTAATTTAATTTTAAGGTTTCTGAACTCTAAAAGTTTCATTTCATCACAATTAAAACAAATCAGTAATCAGTAAAATGTCTGGAGTTCAAGTTTAAGTTTAGTGTGCTTGCATGAATCAAGAAGTGAGCAAAATGTTGGCAATAATCCAGCACAACGCAGCACTGACTGCTTTAAAAGCACAGGTTTAATATAGGCCACATGTATTACTGGAGAGTATAAAATTGTTGGAGCATGTTAAATGCATGGTAAAAACCATTCCAGTAGAAGTTTTACTGCATACAGTTTGTAAGATCACTACRCTCAGATTTGTAATTTAGGTCACATATTAACCTCTAYGGACCTGCTCCCCTGAGCTGCATAAAGTTGGTGCAACGATTACAAGCAAAGGCTGTTCCTCTCCTCCAATACTTACCTGCACAAATGAGGTTACCTGTGTCTGCTCGGCTGTGTGGCTAAGCAGCATGTTCCAGGATCCATAACAGTACTGCAGCACATCCCAATGCATCCATTATTTTTATGATCTCTGAAAGTAAACTAATAAAAGCCTCATTTGGAGTATTAAAAAAATGAGTCACCTTATCTGCCTGCTGAATCAGCGCTGCCTTCATGGCCCATAACTCACCTCCTTTTGTGCATCTCGTGCCAAGCTGAAATCGATTCTGTGGTCAGCTGGGCCATGCAAGGATGACGGCTGACAAGAATATCGAGGTTGACGTACATTTTCTACTTGTCATTTGGAGATGAAAGGAAACGCATAAAGTTTATTGTCGTTCCACGAAAAAAAAAGGCACAATACTATCTGACCAAACCACCACTTGTATATAAAACAGACATCTGTGCTGTTTTTCTGGGCTGTGCTTACATAAACAGCCTTCTGGGAGATTAGAAATGTTTTTTAACTCTTGAGTCCATTTATCCACCACCACATCCACTTCTTAAAAGCAAATCATAATGGATCAATTCTTATCGATTCATTTTCTCGATCCTATTTAATCAACATGAGGTGATTAATTAGGTTATCAGTCTCTTTACCATTGCCTAACTTTCTGACACTTTATTGTAARTGATTTTGAGCTGTTTAAATTGGTTCAATACTCCAATGAATGAAATGCTTGTTAATACTGTGTGTGACCCATCACATCAAAACGAGGATTAAGTCCAAAAGCGGAGAAATAGGCAGATATAGTGTTTTGACTRAAATGTTWACAAAAATTGCATTTTGTCAAAATATAATGAATAAATGCCTTATTAATGTATCATTTGAAAGAACTGTCTGAAATTTAATCATAAAACAAAATTCTGAAAAACTTTTTTGAGCAGTAGCAACAAAAAATAATTTTGAGGAAAAACACCTTAAAATTTTGAGATTTTCCCTTTGAGTTAGCAAAGTTTTTTCTTTTCAGCTGGGAAATCTCAATATTCAAATATAATTTGAAGTTTCCTCTTTATAAGGACATCAAAAATTCCTCATTAAAATGACATGAAATTAGGATTCAGACCAAATATTTATGTATTATTGTAACCAACAAGACAAATTGAGTCATATATATGGATTTAATTAAGATATCAAAAGGATCCAGGTATCAAAATGTAGCTTTTAAAGCCAAGAATCTGAAAATGTAATTAGGTCATTTTGACCAAATTTGACTTAATCCTCATTTCAATATRATGGGTCACATATATTATACATGGTATTAAAGGGGGGTTAGATCACAATAATGCCAAATAACAGCAACAGCAAAAATAATTTTACAGCCAAAAGTAATTAGTATTGCTAATAGCTGTTGGCTGCTAAATCGCTTGACCAAAGGGAACATCAGTGTGATGAGGCCAAGAAATAGTCACCTCATTCCCCTGGAGTCAGCGTGATGCGTCAGTCTGACATGTCCTCACACCTCCAGCTGACCGTCAATCAATTGGTGCTGCTGTTGTTTGAAGAGGACTCTGCTTTGATCAGCCGACTCTGATTTGTATGTGAATCCTCATTTATTCCATATGTGACCTCCTTTGAATCTGATTTAACTTCAAAGCTGGTGACTCTAACTGCGGTTGAGGTTTAGTGATGTGAGACAGCGGTGTAAAAATGACTCAAGAATGAACGTTGTCTCTTACAACGCTTTAAATGTAAATTTATCAACCTATAAGTGTTGTGGCTTGATCTTTATCTTGATCATCTTTAGTCAAGAAACTCAGTCAGATATGGAWTTTTTTTACTTGACAGTGACTCACAGCTACACACGTGTTTAGGATTTAGGAAATACTAATGTTTCTAGAGATTGTGACCCATAAACAGTGCCTAAAATAAGGGATGGGCAACATTTGGCCCGTGGATGACTTCTGTCTGGCCCACCAATTAGCAGCTCTAATCTAACCCATAATTTACACTAGATGTGGTTCCTGTCTGCTCCGCTGCAGTCCAACCTCTGCAGCAAATACACAACCAATACAATCATTAGATTAGATTCGATCTTTGCCAGAGCTACTCCAGAGTCTATCTACAAAGATCATGTCACACCAACAGGAAAAGGAATRAGCACTAACTAMGT